ATTAGAAGACTAGTTTTGAGTGTACTGTGATCAAACTTCTTTCTTCCATTGCTCTGCTCTACTTAATATACAAGTTTCTTACCATGAAATAAGGAACTTTTACAGATTTCTCGAGCACTGAATATATTTTCAAATGCATCATCACATTTGAGAAGTTATAGGGTTAATATCTGGAACACTTTGGATTTCTATATCAGCATGTTGGTATTCTCAGTCATCATTTTGTTTATGTGCATATTTTGCTTCTATGTGCTTTGTTGTTTAGTGGTCTATACATATTTTAATGTGTAACATGGTCGTTTCATCCAGGGAATGGGTACATTGACTCTTTCTGCATCAGTTCCTGCACTCAAGCCTGCAGAGTGTCTGGGCACTTCATGCCCTGCAGCTACTCCTGCACAATATGCTGTGTTCTTCTTTGGTCTCTACCTGATTGCACTTGGGACTGGTGGTATAAAACCATGTGTGTCATCTTTTGGGGCAGATCAGTTTGATGATACTGATGCCGAGGAAAGGATTAAGAAGGGATCCTTTTTCAACTGGTTTTACTTTTCTATCAACATAGGTGCCTTTGTATCCAGCACTTTTATTGTTTGGATTCAAGAAAATGCTGGCTGGGGTCTTGGATTTGGCATTCCTGCTTTGTTTATGGCATTAGCCATTGGGAGTTTCTTTTTAGGCACGCCCCTTTACAGGTTTCAAAAACCAGGTGGCAGCCCTCTTACAAGAATGTGCCAGGTTGTGGTAGCATCTGTCCGGAAGAGAAATCTGGTTATCCCTGAGGATAGTAGTGTCCTATATGAGACACCAGATGATAGCTCTGCTATTGAAGGAAGTCGAAAACTGGAGCATAGTGATGAACTAAAGTAATTTTATTTTACTTTTACGTTTACTGTTGCAGTATCATTAGCTTGATGGTCACAAACTCACAATACAGGAAAAGGAGTGTCTTATTATGCATGTTAACTTATTCCTGATATTCTATTTAAAGTGCACTTTGTCTTCCAACCAAATTCAAACTTGATTGTTTAAGGATACTACCGATTAGTAAATAGAGACTGTTCATGTTAGGCTCTGACCAACCAGTTACAGTTAGCTAGACCTTTAGTGCTTAGGCCTTATCACACAAGATAAGGCCTGAGGAGATAGGAATAGGATAACAAATATTGGGTGTTTGGAGTGCATGCAGAGAGCACAACACGATCTGTTCTTTTACACTCGTGAGATAATTTCTTGTGACACCCCACTGTAACCTTTGTTAACCTCTTTTTCTACCCTAGACTGTTGCCATATATTGTTACCCATATGCTGACATCCCCTCATTAAATGCCATAGTTGTCACAATCATCTAAGTTGGAAATACTTTGTGGTGGGTACAAACAATTTCCAACTTCTGTAACACCTTTTGTCCTTCTAATGGGTTCATTCATAATCTCATCCAAATATCAATGGATCTGCACATTTGCCAAATCTTTTAGGTGCAAGTTTTTGACTAACTAAAATCATCATCTTTAAATATGTATTGAGTACCAGAAAGACACAATGATGTTTGAGAATGTCACTACATAATGGGGATTTCTTTTGTTCCCAACAGAAAATTATTATTCTTTTCCTTTATTTTTTCTGATATCTTTTTCGTATCTCAAATTCCATTTCTCACATCTCTCTGGTTCTATGGTTGAAGTTTATTGTCAGGTGTGTTTCCCCATGTCTGTGAAATTTTGTCGAGTTACAACAGAAAAGAAAACAGTTTGCATTAAATTTGGTAGCGTCTTGATACCTTGAGGTTTTTAGTGAAATTTTTTCCCATTGAATCTTAGTTAGCATTCGACAAAACATGATAGTTTTAAATCCTTATTTGGTGAATAGTTTTTATCCTACCACTTCTTTATCCAGTGAATCTTATCCTTTCCAGTGTGAAAAATAAGTCCTTAAACGTAAGAGAGTAAACAAACGCCAGGTATACAAAATTTTTATTAATGCTGATTAAATGTAGTGGTATATATTATTGCTGTCATTTTGATATCTAGGAATATAAGTAACAAGTTTTCTTTTTATTTCTCTTTGCCCGTAAGTTTGTATTGCGGTGTGTATTTGATATGGAACTCATGGAAGCGTATATTTTAAAAAAATAATCATTGGGTGCGCATCTGATGTCCTCATTTTGTTGCCTTCTTATTCGTGATTAAATTTTTCCTTCATGGCTCAACATTGCATATAATATTCTCCTATTCTGAATTGTGAGAAATGACTATACAAGTTTATTTGCTTGTGTTATTTTGATGTTATCAAAGAATGAGCTTGCTATGTTTAAGCATTTGTTTATTCAAGAGGGATAAAAAATACATCAGACTGTTTCTACTCTTCTGAGAAGGATACTGGCAGATTTGTTGTTGTTTTGCTTTTCTTTTCCCTAAGAATATTATGGTGTTGGATGGATTTCCTGTAAGTTGTAACCAATTTTCTTTTAGAAAATTTATATTATGTTGAGAGGTCCTCTACTAAAATTTTAAATTTTTAGCTATTGTCCTAATAATGTTTTTCTATTCTACTATCGATAATAGTTAAAATAGCCTTATCTTCTTCAGAAGATTTTACACTCAATGTTGGCTTCCTATTATCTAAAACCCCATTTCTTGTATTTCATTGAAGGTGTCTTGATAGGGCGGCTATAGTGTCTGATGCTGAGGGCAAAACTGGTGACTATTCTAACAAGTGGAGAATTTGCACTGTTACACAAGTGGAGGAATTGAAAATCTTGATTCGCATGTTTCCAATTTGGGCTACTGGGATTGTTTTTGCTGCTGTTTATGCCCAGATGTCAACATTGTTTGTGGAACAAGGGACGATGATGAAAACAAATATTGGTTCCTTCAGGATTCCTCCCGCTTCCCTCTCAAGTTTTGATGTGATAAGTGTTATTTTCTGGGTCCCCGTCTACGACAGGGTTATTGTTCCCATTGCAAGGAAATTTACAGGCAAAGAGAGGGGTTTTTCAGAGTTGCAAAGAATGGGAATTGGCCTTTTTGTTTCAGTCCTGTGCATGTCAGCAGCTGCTATAGTGGAGATTGTACGTCTGCAGCTTGCACAAGAGCTTGATCTTGTTGATGAACCTGCTGATGTACCCCTTAATATATTTTGGCAAGTCCCTCAATATTTCTTATTGGGGGCAGCAGAAGTATTCACATTCGTGGGACAGCTTGAGTTTTTCTATGACCAATCCCCAGATGCCATGCGGAGTTTGTGCAGTGCCTTGTCTCTGCTGACTACTTCTCTGGGGAATTACTTGAGCTCATTTATTCTTACCGTAGTGACTTACTTAACCACACGAGGTGCAAATCCTGGATGGATTCCAGATAACTTGAACAAAGGTCATCTCGATTACTTTTTCTGGCTTTTAGCTGGACTTAGCTTCTTAAATATGTTAGTGTACGTTGTTGCTGCCAAAAGGTACAAGCAAAAGAGGTCTGCTTAAGAGTTTTCAAACATTTATTTGAACTGGAAGGACGTTCTGCTATTTCCCAATGTCAATGTCGTGATTGTTCTGTATGTGGAATAATGATGTTCTGCAATTATGTACGTTTCTTTCACTTTAAAAGGAAAATCTGTGTCATGCCCGCTTCAAAACAGCCTGCTCTCTGCACTCTCATGAAGCCTGGAAGTGATGAGATTACGTGATAACCTTGTAAGCTTATTATGGGAAGTTAATGTTCAATTTATCTACATTGCAACATTCACACTTGTAATTATTAATGTACAAAAGGTTGACACTCCTTTTATGCGCTCCATCGTTTCATAATTCCAACAAGGATTGATTGTCATTTGAGTTGCGTGCAATTAGTTATCTTAAAATCCTTCCATACACTTAGAATCCAATTCCCTCTCACAATTCATACTTTTCTCTAACTACATTTGTTAGACTGGAATAATTGTGTCACAATTTAACTAATGACTGATTGAGAGCATTTTGTTTAGGAGATTTTAACTAGAGAAGCTAGTCTGTGCACCGATATCACAACATTTTACACTGTTATTTAATTTTAAATTACTACATATAAGTTTTCTGACTTTTAGTGAGTTTAGGAGAGATTTAAATCTAAACTGATTAGTGTTAATTTGTGTCAGACAAACTTTTAGAAATAATACTTGAAGTGAACTTCTCGATTTCATTTGAATTAATTTAGGTCGAGTTCCAGAATAAAATAATAAAAGGAAGAAATTACAATCAAAATGAAAGAAAACTAATGAGTGTTTTTTGGAATTATAGCATTAGTGTTTTTTGTTTCTGTCCACACAATTGGGCAGCATTTTAAAGTAGCGGATACCACAGAAGATAGCTATTAGCTAATGATAAATGGATGCCCGAGACTGGGGCCACACACGTGTAAGACTTTCCATAAGAAACAAAAGAAAAACAAAAAAATGGCATAACGAAATGTGACCTCATTCTGAATTCTCATTCATCCAGATCGAACTGCAGAAGATGCAGAATCTCATCACTGTATATTCTTCACAGTTTTTGGATTGAGTTCATTGCATATTTTAAGTCTAGGCATACGAAAATGCTAATATAGTAATTGGCAAATGACTACATCCAGTGGACAATGAAAATGAGGAAATCATTGTATATTCTATCATTATTGTTTCTTCAATGATACGTATAAGATATCTTTTTCTGGTACTGATAGTGACTGCCCTAAATACGATTTTTAAATGATTACTATATAAATAAACAAATAATATAGAACAATTTATAAGTAAACCATAATGTAAACAATCTAAAATTTTTAGACTATATTAATAATGTAAATTTTTAACATCATGTATTTTGAAATTGTTGAGTTTTACAATAATTTTGAAAATTATAGAAGATATTTTTAACTAACTACTGACAAAAATATATTTGCCTTGTCAAAATCAAATTAAAAATCTATATATTATTAGTATATTTTAATTAGAATATTTTATGCATGTTGGAATTACGATAAGAACTGACTTCCTTTCAATAACGTACTCTTAGCTAAATTTTCTGAGTCTAGCTGCGTTCAGAAGAAGAGTGTGTGTGTGTGTGTGTGTGAGAGAGAGAGAGAGAGAGTTCCCACCAAAGACAAAGACATGGGTTCAACTGTTGACGGTGCACCACTTCTGGAAGAGGGTCTTCTTGAGGTTCTCCTTCACTCCATCTTTCTTTCTCCATACATACCACCTCAAATGTTTTATCTTCTTGTCAAGCTAATTACTTGTGTACAATACAACTGTACAAGCCTTTCCACGACACAGCACATACTCATAGCATAGTTTGGTCCAAGTATTCCAATTAAAGAAACAAGAAAATGGTATCTTTCTATGATATATGATTTTCTTGTTTATTTAACTGTGAAGGATGGAAGGAGTGAAGAGTACACAGGAGATGGAACAGAGGACTTTAGAGGCAGGCCTGTTCTTAAGAAGAATACTGGCAATTGGAGGGCTTGTCCTTTTATCCTAGGTAGGTATGCTTCTACATTTCTCTCACGTTATTATACAGTAAATTTTTTGTTTATATCCTTCATCTGTACGTGAATCTCAGGTAACGAGTGTTGTGAACGTTTGGCCTTCTTCGGAATTTCCTCAAATCTTGTTACCTATCTCACTACCAAACTGCATCAAGGAAACGTTTCTGCTGCGAGAAACGTCAGCATCTGGCAAGGCACTTCTTATCTCACACCTCTCATTGGAGCCGTTCTGGGAGATGGTTACTGGGGTCGATACTGCACAATTGCTGTTTTCTCTTTCATTTATCTCATTGTAATAAGCTAAGATCAGATAGTCCTCTTTTCCTAGTCAAATGTTTCTCTTAATATTCCAGTAATATGGAAATCATGAAAGATAAACAACATGAGAGCCCCTGATTCTGTTTTTAATCAACTCTATAGTATACTTGATAAATTTCTTGACTTTTATAATTATTATTTTAAGCTCTTAATTGCATATATGCTTTGTTGTTTAGTTGCCTTTTCAAGCTGTAATTGTGACATGGCTACTGTGTGCAGGGGTTGTGTACCTTGACACTTTCTGCATCTTTACCAGCATTGAAGCCTGCTGAATGTTTGGGTTCTGCATGCCCTTCAGCTACTCCTGCACAATATGCTGTGTTCTACTTTGGTCTGTACGTGATAGCGCTTGGGGCTGGTGGTGTTAAAACATGTGTGCCATCTTTTGGGGCAGATCAATTTGATGATACTGATCCCGAGGAAAGAATTAAGAAGGGGTCGTTTTTCAATTGGTATTATTTTTCTATCTATCTAGGTGCCATATTGTCATGCAGCTTAATCGTTTGGATTCAAGACAACGCAGGATGGGGTCTTGGATTTGGCATCCCTGCTTTGTTTATGGGATTATCTATTGTAAGCTTCTTCATGGGCACACGTCTTTATAGGTTTCAGAAACCTAGGGGAAGTCCTGTTACAAGAATTTCCCAGGTTTTGTATGCGTCTATCTGGAAGTGTAATCTGGTTGTCCCTTGGGACAGTAATCTCCTTTATGAGTTACCAGAAGAGAGATATGCGATTAGAGGGAGTCGCAAACTGGAGCATAGTGAAGATCTAAGGTAATTAAACTGTCTGACATATTATTACGACCTTCTTTCATTACCATAACGTAGGCGTAGGATTATCTTTGTTATACATGTTGATTTTCAAATGTTCTTTGAAGTGTGACTAGTCTGATATGAAATTTGGAATTAGGTGTTTATGGGGAAAATGTTCATTAGCTGAGCCCTGCTACATTGTTATGCAGTTGTAAATTATAGTGTCTAATTGGTCACTTACAAAATTCAAATTAGCTATACGTGTGGGCGTTGCCTGGCACACCTAGTGGTAAGGTCTGACAGGATGGAATAACTAATATCATTCTCATTTATCTGATGTTTGGAACACATTGAATTGCATAACACTATCGAATCCCTTCCTTCCATCAGTTAGTTATTGTATGATACTACTGATGCAGCACTAAAGAGCATTGAGGCAATTATAAATTTAGAACATTTTTTTTGGTTGAGATGATTTCACTATCTGGTTTTTAAAATTTGCATAGGAGTGTTGTTCACTTATTTAGGTGAATTAAGGTTTATTTGAAGTTATATAGTGAAGGTCAATCATATTGTTGGGGCTTATTTTGTTAGTATGAATGTGTTAGGGTATAAGGTGGAATGTTAGGGTATAAGGTGGGAGGTAATGAGAAGGAGAAGAAAGGTACGAGGGAAGTGAGGCCGAACGGCATTGACCGTAAAGGCCTAACGGTGGAAGGCATGGAGAGGTTAGGCCGAACAGTGGACAAAGGGGGAAGTGAGGTCGAACGGTATTGACCGTGAAGGCCGAACGATTGAGGGCATGGAGAGGTTAGGCCGAACGGTAGACAACAGGGAGCGACTAGGCCGAACAGTGGGAGGCGGGGAGCAACCAGGCTGAACAGTGGGAAGTAGAGAGAATATTCAGTATAAGTTAATTAGAGTAAATAAATATAGTATAAGTTAATTAGAGTAAATAAATATATATTCAGGAAAATATTCAATATAAGATATTTATAATTAAGAATATATGCTAGGATAATATATGGGGAGATATTTATATTAAACATAGAGATATTTATATTAAATGCAGATATATTCTAGGGAAATAATTAGTATAAATAAAGTTAGAGTCTAGGGTTAAAGGGATGCTTTTGATTTGTGAGTTTTGTAAGAGAGGTTATGCTCTTAGGTAACTGAGGGAGATCCTGCTCCCAGTTATTAGAAATAATTGACGGAGGTTATGCTCCTAATTATTGTTTACCCTTGTTTATTCAGATATTACCATCAATAAAAGAGATTCATTCAACCATCATTCGCTTATTGTTCTATTACGTGTGTGAGAGTGTGAAAGGTTGTATTTGGCTAGTCTACGTACTCAGGTACGTAACAGAATGTATGTGCACTCAAGTTCATTTAACCATCAATGAACACATGTGATTCTGCGATTTTATCATAACTGGGAGCTCAACAACGCCAAGCTCAAGAAAGGAAAATGGTTTAGTATACCATAAAACTAAAAGGAAAACATTCAATTTGGTCTTCCTAAAGTTACATGTGTCACCAAATTAGCCTATCAAAAATGCTAGTCACCAGTCCTCCAAAAAGACAAATATGGTGACACTTTAGACCTTGAGTGATGACAGATTAAATCTTTGAGGGACTAATTTTGTGACAAAATCTTGGAAGAACAAATATGGTGATAATTTAAATCTGTGCAGGTCTAAGTAAGTATTTTTTTCTTGAAGGATTAATGCTGTAATGGATATAGATTTCAGGACCAAATTGAGAGTTTTCTCAAAAATCTTCTGTTCATTTTTTTATATGGAATTATAGTACGATTAGATCTATTTGCATAGGGAAAACCTTTTTATGCTTTTCACTTCACTTTGCTTTATGTTATTTTGTAAGCATTATGCCAAATTCATTGTTATCTTTTCTCCTTTCCCCAATTGTAAGCATGTTGTGGTCTTCAAAACTTCTAGGATAGATTGCGTTTAAACATTTTTCTTTTATCCTGTCTTGGTTGGGTAGAGAAATCTTGTGCTAAAGTTTTGAGCTGTTTTAACATTTTTTTCTTCTTCCAAATAATAATTTGTAGGATCCTCACTTGCTTAAAAATGCTTCGCCCATAATGTCAACTACTGTTAAATTAATGGGCTGTAAACTCTTATTTTTTATTGTTGTAATTATGTTTACTTATTTTAGTTTGCTAATGTCGGTGGTAATGTTCAGATATTGATTTACTCTGATTTTGGACAGATTTGTATTCCGAATGTAGTGGGTAATGATCTTTTGCTAACAACATGTATGATTATGATGATGGATTGTCATTTAGTTACGCTTAAATATGGTTCAGTAGCAAATACGAAAATTGCTCTGTTTCTCTTGACAGTCTTTTCTTTTCATGATGTGGTTCTACTTTATGTTTATAATGTTCAAGTTATCTTTGTTTAGCAGTGGTATCTAGAGTAGTGTTCTTGTTGGTTTTGGGTTTAAAACACTATTGAAAGATCAAGTGGTTTCAGGGAGCAATGTTGTTTTGGCTGTTTCTCAATTTTTTGGGGAATATTATCATATAGGGGTAGCCAAATGAGAAAATGTTTAAAGTCCTTTGGCTTATGAGATTATGCAGATGATAAGCAAGTATCACCATTAAGAGATAAACAAATCGACCAACATGAGGAGATTACGAAGAAGGAGAAAGTTGTCTCATGTCTACATTCATTGTTGACAGACGAGGTGTCTACATGCATCTAAAAAAAGCCAAGCAAATATGGGATGAATTGAAAGAAAGATATGTAGGTGATGAAAGGATAAGGTCCACTAAGCTTTTGACTCTTAAAAGAGAGTTGAAATACTAAGAATGAAGGAAAATGAGTCTATAAAGGAGTACACTTCAAAGCGGTCCCATTTGGTGAATCAAATGAGGCTATATGGTGAGGTTGTAGAAGACAACAAGGTTATAGAAAAAATGTTGATTAGCCTACCCAAAAAGTTTGAAGCCAAACTTGCTGCTATTAAAGAGTCATGTAATCTTAAGAAATTAACTATTTAAGAGATGGTTAGAAAATTGCAAGCTTAAGAGAAAAGGTTCTCAATGAGGATGAATGATGTAACTGAAGGTTTTCCTTCTTGTACTACATGTAAAAGAACAAATCACTTGCAATAAAATTGTTGTTTCAAGGGGAAGCCTCACATTCCATGTAACAACTGCAAATGGTAGAGACATAGGGGGAGGTATTAGAGAGATTTAAGCAGAACCAACCTGAATTGAAGATCACTTGTTTATGGCTACTCAAGCATGCGGTTCAAGTTCAAAGGATGTTTGGTATGTTGATAGTGATTGCACAAACCACATGGCACAGGATTCAAGTATCTTCACCTCTTTGGATAGCACTGTCCAAACCAAAGTTAAGCTTGGAAATGGAGACATTGTTTAAGTTGAAGGGAAGGTACAATTTTTTTTCACACTCGCAAAGGTACTAAATTTATTCATGATGTTTTGTTGATTCTAGACTTGGATAAGAATTTGTTAGCACTGCTCAGCTAATGAAGAAAAAATACTCACTCTCTTTTAAAAACAAGGGCAGCGCCATTTTGGATGCTAATGATTCTGAGTTTATTAGGTTAAAATGTGTGATAATAGCTTTCCAAATAATGTGAATCACGTGAACCAATCAACACTTGTTTCCGAACATGATTATTATTCATCTTGACATAATATATATGGTCATTTTAATATGGATGCATTTAAATTTTTGCAAACCCATGATATGGTGAGAGACATGCCTGTGGTAGGCAATATCAATGATTTATGTGATGGTTGTCAATTTGGGATGATGCATAGGGAGTATTATTCTTCAATAAAAGTCACATGGGAAAAGAACAAATTGAGCTTGTTCACACTGATTTGTGTGGTCCTATGCGTATACCTTCTTTAAGCCATAGCAAATATTTCATTTTGTTTACTATTAATGATTACCAAAATGACATGAATGGGTCTTTTGGAAAGCAAAACTGAAACAATTAATGTCTTCAAAAAGTTTAGAGCTATATGGTGGAGTTTCGAAGTGGCGGCAAAATTAACATGTTGAGATTTGGATAATAGGATGGAGTATACTTCCAATGAATTCAACATGTTCTGTGAAGATATATATGGGTATTATTCATCAATTGATAGTCAATTATACTCCTGTTCGCAATCAAGTTTTTGAGAGAAAAAACAGAACAATTATAGAGATGGCAAGATGTTTAACTGCATAAAAAACTACCAAAACTTCTGAGTTGAGGCTGATATTACAACAGTGAATCTCTTAAATAGGCTATCCACAAGAGTTGCGAATGAAGCTTGGATGGGAATGAAACCCCCGCTACAAAACACTCAAAGATTTTTGGATCAATCTGCTATGTTCATGTTGCAATAGCTAAAAGATTTAAATTGGATGACAAAGTTAAAATGGGAAGTTTCCTAAGCAATGCTACAAGCTCCAGAGGTTATAGATGAACAATCTCTAGTTAAAATCAAGTGTGATGGGATATTCAAGAATGCTTATTGAGAATGGAAAATAATTGAGTTTAAAGAAGCATGAAAACAGAACAATAGAAAGCTACAAAGGAAGATGAATGCTAGATTGGTAAATATGATTCTCCGGTGCTCAAAACCAAGTTTTTGGCAAAAATTTATGAAAATTGCATAACTGACACATTTTTTGGAAATTGATTTCAGGAAGAGTCAAAATGAGTCCACTCTGTATGTGAAAGTTTGTGACAATGGGAAGAAAACTATTGTCACTTTATGTCGATTATTTGTTAGTTACAAGTGATGATATTGATAAAATGACATTTAAAAGTAGCATGTTGCAGGTTTTTGAAATGAATGGTTTTGGAGTGTTGAGGTAAGATGAAGTCATTCTCTCACAGAGAAGTACACAAATGATTTGCCAAAAAAAATTTAAATTGGAAAGTTGTAATCCTATTTCAACTCTGATTGTAAATGAAAAGTTGTCAATGATGGTGATGAAAACGCTAATGTAACTCAGTATAGAAGCTTGGTCGTATGCCTTGTGTACTAGACCAAATTTGATATTCTTTGTTATTTTGCTTTCAATGTTCGTGTACTCACCAGGTTTTACAAACTTTGGTGTAGGCAAAAGAGTGTTGAGATATTTGAAAGGTAATGTTGATTTTGGTATTTGGTATGGAAGGCTTGAAGGTTATGTTGATAGTGATTAGGCTGATTCTATTGATGATTCAAAGGGTACAATGGGATATGTTTTTTCACTTGGCAGTTAAGTGTTCTCATGGAATTCTAAGAGGCAAAATGTAATCCTCAGCTGAAGCAAAATATATTGCAGCTGAAAATCCAATTCAACATGGGAGAACCATGCATATCAATGTTAAATTTCCTACTATAAGAGAATCTGAGCAGAATGAAAATGTTCAATTGCTACATTGCAGGTATGAAGATCAAATTGCTCACATTTTAACCAAATCAGGCACTTACAAGTGCGAAGTTTAATGAGCTAAGAAGCTAGATGAGAATCTTCAGGAAAAGTTATAAGGAGGAGTGTTAAATTGATGGGCTGTTAGACTCTTTTTTTTCACTACTGTAATTATGTTTACTTATTTCAGTTAGTTTTCTTGTGTCAGTAGTGGTAATGCTCAGTCATTGATATATGTTCTGATTTTGGGAAGATTTGAACTCTAAAAGTAGCGGGTAATGTATGAGTATGATGAGAGCATGAATTTCTTGTGTTAGTTTTCTCCATTGATTTGAATTCTAAAAGATATACTCATACATGCTCTTTTACTGAACATGTATGAGTATGATGATGGATTGTCATTTCTCATGTAATTACTCTTAAATAAGATTCAGAATATAAAATACAATATGGTTCAGCAACAAATAGAGCAATTGTTCTATTTCTCTTTACCGCTCTTGTCTTTTCATTTCTTACAATCCTAATGGTTTCTTTTCTTTTTTTCTCTTTCATGAAGGTGTCTTGACAGAGCAGCTATAGTATCCGATTATGAGAGAAAAAGTGGTGACTACTCTAATCAATGGAGACTTTGTACAGTAACACAGGTGGAAGAATTGAAAACCTTGATTCAATTGCTTCCAATATGGGCTACTGGGATAGTTTTTTCTGCTGTTTATGCTCAGATGTCAACATTGTTTGTGGAGCAAGCAATAATGATGGATACATATATTGGTAACTTCAAATTACCCCCAGCTTCTCTGTCAACTTTTGATGTGATTAGTGTTATTTTTTGGGTCCCTCTCTATGACAAGGTAATTGTTCCAATCACAAGGAAGTTCACAGGCAAAGAAAGGGGGTTCTCAGAGTTGCAAAGAATAGGCATTGGCCTTTGCTTTTCAGTCCTGTGCATGTTATCAGCTGCTGTTGTGGAGATTAGGCGTCTGGACCTTGCAAGAGAGTTTGACCTGGTTGATGAACCTGTTGTAGTGCCCCTTAGTGTATTTTGGCAAATCCCTCAGAACTTCTTCTTAGGGGCAGCTGAAGTATTAACATTTGTGGGGCAGCTTGAGTTCTTGTATGACCAATCTCCAAGTTCTATGAAGACTCTTGGTACTGCACTGCCACTTCTGAGTTTTTCATTGGGAAATTACTTGAGCTCTTTCATTCTTACTTCCGTAACTTACTTTACGACACAAGGTGGAAATCTTGGTTGGATTCCTGATAACTTGAACAAAGGTCATCTTGATTACTTTTTCTTTCTTTTAGCTGGACTTAGCTTCTTAAATGTATTGGCGTACATTGTTGTTGCCAAAAGGTACAAGCAGAAGAAGGCTTATTAAGATTTTTCCAGCATCTATTGGGGCGGAAGCATGTTCTGATGTACAGTACCCTTCTGTCATTGTCATGATTTTTCTGTAAGTATATATGCTACCAACAAACTAACTTTCTAAAGCAGTACGCTAATTTTCTTTTCTCATGTCTTAAAGTTTTCTTTTTTTTTCAATAAACTTGCCATTAAACATACTAGGATTTAGAATCTTCTTTTCTTATACAGATTATAGCATTGTTTTCATATTATGGCTTAAAATTTCTCTGTTTTAGGTACAAGAGTCAATTGCAAAAGAGTCAATTCTGAAGGAATTAGGATTTCAAAACATCCATTTTGAAACTAATGAACTTTATTTCTTTATTATTATCTTTTCACTCACTTCATTCTTCGGCTTAAAATTTTACTATTACATTGATGTGATTTCAATATGTTGCTATTAGAAAGCAAATTCACTTTATGTACGAGTCACTCCTGAAAAAAGAAAACTAAAATTTAATAGCCAAAGTTATATGATTATGGTTCATGGCAAATTTCACTAAATAGAAGTTCTCATTTTCAATGGAAATTAGTCTTAGAAGACAGAGATAATATCTCACAATTTGTTTAGCTTGTATAGTGACTTTTATACTTCTTTGTACAATTTAAGGGTGTTCTAATTTGTAAGTTCTTTACTCAAAATCTTCATGTAGGAAGTTAGAATTCATGCGAAGGACTTCAATTCACTAATTCTAAAATGAAATTGCTAAGGGTTGTGTGCATTTTATCCAACCTTTCCATGTTGTCTCAAATGGTCAGTGTTACAAAACAAACCGCCACCCTAATAAAATTAAATTGCAATTTGGAACAGAGGCAGCTTTAATTGATAGTAATTTAATTAAATTGCATTTATAATAGAGTGGTATAACTAAACTCCAAAATATTATTTTTTTTTGTGAAAAATGCAACAAGAGTGTCATGAAAGTTAGTTTCAAATTTTTTGCTTAACATTCTATTATTATATAATGGATATATGTGTATATTTGTACATGTCTATGTAGGGTGTAAGATCAAGGTTTTGTATAATTAATCAAATAGATTTAACCAATTTCGTGGTTTTTGACTACGATGCCACCACATCCTCAAGAAATTGTGGGCAAAGATCTTTGATTCTCATGACAAGGTTAAGTGCCAAACTATTCATTTACTATTTCTTTACTTCTATACATATTTAATATTGAATGACGTAAACAATGTTTTTTCTTTTAGAACACTGTTTTTGGTCATATTAAGAAGGAGTTTGCAATTTTGATGGATATATAGAATTATCAATTTAATTCAACCAATCCTAACCTATATTCTTAAAAAAGCCAGGAAGCTTTTTACGTGGAAAAAAAAAAACCTCAACTCAAGAGTCTTCTCTATAATAAGTTAGGATGAAGAGTAAGTTGAGTTTAGTTCCATTACAAAATTTTAATAAATTTTTAAAAACAAAAGTTTTTTATATAAAACAAAAATGAAAGATGAACAAAAATAAAAAAAATAAGTTTTTATATTGACTATTAAACGAAGAACTTACATGATTGGATACTTAAAAAGAATGAATAATAATAAAATGAACAATAATACAGCGGGAGAGAGTAAATATTTCATATTATTTTTTATTTACTTTTTTCTACTTTGAAAGTGAATAATAATTAAAATATATATGTACAATTAAAAAAATTACAAGAATAGAAAATTAAGAAACTAATAAACATATGTTGAACAATTGAATTAATAACAACAAATATATAAAATGTGTATAATTTTTGAGTATTCATTCTAATAATAATAAATTACTTAAATATGTTTATATGAGAAATATAATATATATATATATATATATATATATATATATATAATTATATATATATATATATATATATATATATATTATATGAGAAATATTTTATATAAAAATTAAAATAAACTACGAGTTAATTATATTTCTTTTTATCAAAATATTTATTTTTCTTAAAAAAAAGCCTATAGGTTGGTCCTAACCCATAGGATTTTTGTAGATATTTTGGTTTTGGAAGGTTACATCTTTCACCATCACATGTTGCTCCTTACGTCTTCCCAACTTTTTTATTTCTAAAATTGACCTTATTTAAATATTTATTTTTTATTTTTACTTATTTTAATCTAAACCCTTAGTCTAATCTCACTCCCTTTCACTCTTTACCGCAGCCTCACACCACAAAAACTTCTCTTCTTCCTCTCTTCCTATTTTCCTTTTTCACTATCGCAACCCCACACCCCATACCCTCACAAAAACTTTATTTGTACCTTTCATTCTCTTCTTCCTCTCCTCCCAATACTTCTTTTATTTGTGATTTCCGTTTCCTCCTCCATTTTCGACGATTCCATTGTCACTGAGTTGGCTCTAGAGATGGTTGGTTCGTGAAGAAGAGTGTGATTCGTGGTTTATTTCGCCCCAAAAATGCTGGTATTTGTGTGCTGTCGTTTGAAAAACGTAGAAGAAGTCAAACACAAAGGCTTGAATAGATATGGGAGATCCGTTCGGCCTTGAACGAATCTTGATTTAAGATCCGTTGAAGGCCGAACGGATCTCGCATATCCGTTCAGGTCTTCGTGTTTGGCTTCTTTTATTTATTTTTTTTTTTAGTTTATTAATTTTATTTTTCGTATAAATTTTTAAGTGTAGTATATAATTTTAGATTTTGAGTTATTTATTAATTTAATTATAATTATTTAATTTGTTTAAAATTTGTTCTGTATAAAAGAAAATCATTCAAAGGCCAAACAAATCTTGATTTCTGTTGACGGATGTCAAGATTCGTTGAAGGCCAAACAGATCTCTCGTATCCGTTGATCTACAGGGCAAAATGGGAATGAAGAGGTGCAAAGAGCAACATGTGGTGGTGGAGGGAGTAACCCTCTTGGTCTTGTGGACTTTTTCTATATGGGTGTTTCATCCGGCACCTTCAAGCATTTCACTCTACACCTCTAATTTCCTAATATACCCTTAATTAAGTTAGGTGGTTATTTAATAATATTTTGTTTATTGAAATTTTTTGTGCTTAGTTGACCGCACCTCCATTTTCCTCCTATCACCAAACATGCACCCTTGCACCCGTGCATTGACTACACCCTTGCGCCTCGCATCCCTACACCCCATTTCTTTTTTATTAAGAGACGCAACACCCCATTTAAGTTGGAGCTCTCTGATAATTTTTTTTTTCTTGAGTATTTTTCTTTGCAGCTCATATCAATAGTTATATTCGTGAGTGAGTGTGATATTGAGAATTAAAGATATTTGAGAGGGGTTGGTAGTGTTCGAGTGCAGTTTGGAGTGGTGCATCCAGGAAGCTTGACTTGCTTTGTGGTGGTGCACTTGGGGTGCTTTGTGGTGGTGCTCTTGGAGTGCTCTTCTTGGTGTTCTTGCTGGTTGCTGCTGGTTGTTGTTGGTTGTATTGATATTGTTGGAAGGAGGTTAGTATTTTATTTTTGGTTAATCAATTGCATGATTACAAAAGACAACAAACATGAATCACATATGATTCCAAAAATGCACACATCGACTATTGAAATAAAAATAAAAGATGAGACTATCGGATATGAAAATCTGAATCTGCAATTTAATATGTTATATAAAATTTTATTATATTACTTATTTAATTATTTTATTAGTTTAGTTTATAATTATTTATAGAATTATGTATGATTTTGTATAAGTATATAATGTAATTATATAATTTTTATGAATTTATTAAAATTAATAAAACTGTTTTTGATGAAATTAAAGTTAAGATGAGCCTATATGTAAATCCAAATCTAAAAAATCGAATCTAGATATCCAATTTCCACTATTTCGGATGTAAAAATTTGATTAAAGTTTAAAATGTTATATAAAATTTTATTATATTACTTATTTAATTATTTTATTAGTTTATAATTATTTTTAAAATTATGTATGATTTTCTATAAGTACATAATGTAATTATATAATTTTTAATTAATATAAATTAATTTTTGTACTATATGAGGTGGACGATCAGTACTGGACGTTGAGGACGATCCACCGGAGGTGACCAACGCAACAGGGAATAACAGATCGGTAGGCTATCGCGCGAAAGGCATTTTATAGCTAATTAATGGGTAATATCAGGCATATTATGCCAGATATAAGGACGTTAGCGAAAGATTAGGCACAAGATGTATTGCACTAAAGGGCATTTAATGATGCCCAATGGGTCGGATAATTACAAAACCTATTGTTTTAGCAGGATTTAGAACCCTGATCCAAAACATTCAAAGTTGTCTACTCCGATGTCCAGTTGTGTTATCTTCTCTCTTCTCCTTGTCCAAGTCGCGGGGGAGGGTGCCTGCAAAAGAGACTCCGACGCTCAAGTCAGTCACTTTGCGTAATAATCTTGTAATCAAGATTAGCTCTAAGTTCACTTCAAGTTAAAAGTTACCTGTCTCCTATGCCAGAAATATATTTATAAATTATAATGAGCTTACCATTAGGTCTGACTCATTAACCACCAATGAATGACAATATTAATTGTCAATAAATGACAATTATTTTAATTAACACCACGACAATTATTACTATTGATTACCTTAACGGCTCTTTTTACCGATCGGTTCATTGACCTGAGAGACATCATCGGTCGGCCGACTCTTCTGCACCTTTACCGTTCGGTTGGTTATAAGCCGATAGTAACATAAGCCCCCCAAGCCCTAGCAAAAATTTTGATGTTGCGTTGGGTTTATAAAGTTATATCGATCGGTAGAGGATTATACCTGAGTTTCAATTCATACTATCATGTGTTCTTTATCGTCCGAGCGGGTTTTGCGCTAAGAGTTCCTTTGAAATGTTCCAGACCAAGGCGGGAGTTCACGAAAGAGCTTGCTTTGCCGCTTGATTTAGGCCTTAGGATCTCTCTAGAAGCATGCCCTAAGACCAAGGTGAGAGTTTACGAAAAAAATCTGCCTCACCCGCTCGGTTTAGGTCTTAGGAGCTCTCTAGAAGCGTGCCCTAAGACCAAGGTGAGAGCTCACGAAGAGACTGCCTCACCCGCTCGGTTTAGGTCTTAGGAGCTCTCTAGAAGCGTGCCCTAAGACCAAGGTGAGAGCTCACGAAGAGACTGCC